ATTCTATTCTATTCTATTCTATTCTATTCTATTCTATTCTATTCTATCCCATCCCATCCCATCCCATCCCATCCCATCCCAGAAAAGGGGTTCCTGTAGCACGGAGATCTCAGCAGATTTCACATCAACATTGGTTACAATTTTCATTCCCCCCCCCTCAAAGATGGCTTAAGAGTACTTCCATCAATAGTGTGGAAAGGCTCTCAAGGGTGATCCAGAAGAACTAAGGAATCACATCTGTGTGTTCAACTCTGTGGAATCACACAAAATGGCTATTGAAAAGATGCTGCTATATCTTATAAGTATCTGAATTATTGTGATGTTTTATCTTTCAGTCAAATCTCTATGGGTTTTTTCCCTCTCAAACTGTTCTAATGACTCAAAAACAACATGAGGCAATAGTTTGCATTAGAAAGTCTGGTCTCACAATTGTTCCCAAGGTTCCTCAAGGTCCTAAGAGAAATGATAAGCGTGACATGTAAAGGACACAGATCTTAAGTTGATCCCCTATAGTTGAGAAACTTGGGCTGAACTCTGTCCTGAATTAGACAACCCACCAACACTTCAGCATGGTGAGACTGCCAAGGTTTCTTCTCCTGATTTTTTAAACTGTTGCAACACAGGAGATGGACTTAGGTGCTCAAAGAATGCTCCTTTTGTTTCTGCTTCTGCTGCAGCTGCAGCCCTATGGTGCCAGTGGGATGCTCCACACCAAGTGTCCCTTAACTTTGGAGCATGAGGAATTCAATGAAGGGAATCGCTACAAGCCAGGGGACCATGTTATTGCTGGACTTCTCTCTATATCGCCTGCCTGGTTTCTACCAAATGATTTTCAAAGGCCTCCATCTGCTAACATTTCATGGTAAGACTATTACTATTCTTCTCATCCTTCCTAGTACCTATCTCTTCCCATTTATGACTATAACCGTGTTGCTTGTATCTTTACAATTTATATTGTTTTATTTGTTTCCTAGTATGATTTGATTGCTTATTAGTAACTTATGAATATCACTAAATGTTGTATCTTATAATTCTGGGATGAATGTATTTTATTTTTTCTCTATGTACACTGAGAGCATATGCACCAAAAATAAATTCCTTGTGTGTGCAATTCCATCACATCATTTCTATTCTATTCTATTCTATTCTATTCTATTCTATTCTATTCTATTCTATTCTATTCTATTCTATTCTATTCCATTCCATTCCATTCCATTCCATTCCATTCCATTCCATTCCGCTGTGTGAATGAAAGCAGGAGGAACAAAATAACTGAGACCAGGTCATATTTTATTATATGGTTAGTCTGCAAGCCTGGATAATGTATATGAATATTCATGCCAACATATGGATTAGCCAGCCTTTATTTCTAGGGGAACTCTGTGAAATATAAGTATTCCTCTATTTAGTCCAGGTTTCCCCAATAGATAGGAGCTCTTCTTAACATTCTCTACTTATTATGGTTTGTTTCCTTGGCTGGTGAATATTTCCTGCTCGAAAATATTAGCTGTATGAAATATTAGAACCACTTTATAAAACCTTAGTAAGACCACATTTGGAATACTGCTGTCAGCGTTCCAACTAACGAACTACAAACCAATAAACTCTGAGACAAACATTTCCTCCAAGTTCCATTTTATTAGAGTTGTCATATTGGCACATCTGGGAAAACCCTAATTGGAGAGTTTCTGGTTTTCCCTTCTGAAAAGAGAAATCAAAGTTCCATCTCCTGCACCCACCAGTCCATCACATGGCCCAATCGAATCATTCATCCCAAGTGGAGACATCCCTCCTGTCACTCCCCTCCAGGTGCAGAGTAACATGTCCTTGACTCTCTGAGAAAGAATGTTGTTATGTCTAATCTTCTACCTCGCTATGAAATCCCCCCTCTCAAATTCCCAGGCACTGAATGTGGCAGCCTCGAAGCTTCCAAGTAAAATATGGCTTCCAAGGCTGACAACTGCATCCAGTTTTAGTCACCACATTACAAAAAAGATGTTGAGACTTTGGGGTGGAAAAGTGCAGAGAAGAGCAATTAAGATGACTAAAGGCTTGGAGACTAAAATATAGGAAGAATATTGCCGGAACTGAGTATGGCTAGTCTAAATAAGGACTGGGGTGACATGATAGCAATATTCTACACTAGGATCCCAAGGTCCCTGTCATAGTCACTGTTTTTGAACAAGGTTTTTCCTAATCCTAATGGATAGGGTCCATGTTCAAGACTGTTAAGATCTTTTTGGATCCTGAGTTTGTCTTCAGGGATGTTGGCTATTCTTGCCAGCTTAGTATCATCTGCAAATTTGATGAGTTCCCCTTCTACTCCTTCATCTAAGTCATTTATGATGATATTGTAGAGTACTGGCCCTAAGATGGAGCCTTGTGGTACACCACTGCTTCCTTCCTTCCATGTAGATCTAGTACCACTAAGGACTATTTGTTGAATATGGTTTGTCATCCAGTTACAAATCAATCTTGTGGTGGTGCTGTCTATCCCACATTTTTCTAGTTTACCAACAAGTAGTTGTGGTCTATTTTGTCAAAAACTTTGCTTTTTTAAAATATTTTTTTCTTGGTTACAAACATATTATTGTGTGGACAGTGTGGTACCAGAGTGTCTTACATTTTAAAATAAATATGGCAATATTGTTCATATTCAATACAGTTGACAATCTTATAAAATTTCATATTAATACACATATTTTCTTTAATTATTCACCATTTCAGTATCTTACTTTTGTGTCAATCTCCATATTCTAAATATCCCTGTTTTGCTACAAATAAAATATTAATCATATTTGTAGTGTTTAACAGATTTATGTGATTCTAATAATAATTTACCAATTTATATTGAGTAATAATCTTCAATTATTTATCACCTAAGTTTTAATTATTCCACTATTATGTTTAAGAAATATCCCCTTTCTGATCGGATTTTACAACTTATTTAATACAGATAAAATAATTATCATCATATGTACATTTGACAAGTTATATAATTTTAATAATAATAGTTGTTTTTATCAAGTTGCAATCTTTTATTATTCTCCTATTCAATATGTTATTTTTATATCAATCAAATTCTACATATCATTCCTTTTTCTGCAAATAGAATGTTAATATTCATATTTATTACATTCAACAATCTTCTATAATTAACTAATAATACACATATTTATGTTGAATTGTATTCTTCAATTATTTGATTATTCAACATATCATATTCAACGTTACCCTCATTAAAATTCTATAATCCCTTGTTATTAATTCACCTTATAATGTAAAAGTATCTATTCCATTAGTCCCCCTTTCTCTAACTTCTAGCCCTTTTTTATTATCCATCATCTCGCATTGTCAAATGCTTTGCTGAAGTCTAAGTATATTATGTCCACATCATAGTTTGCTGTTGTCTCCTTCTTAGGACTGAGAGAGAAGGACTGGCCCAGAGTCACCCAGTTGACTAGTCCTGTAAGATGACACTAGAAATCCTGATTATCTGGTTTCCAATTTGGTGCCTTAACCACTATGGCAAACTGACTCTTTAGAAGTTCTATATTTTGAAATGTCTTGAAATAGGGCTAGTCTAGATTCTCTGTATTTAGCCCTTTTGGGAAAAGGTCAGAGGCCCAGGGAAACCGTCTCCTCCAAGTTTATATTTTTGATGCACAACTTTTACAAAATATTTATAGCAGTTTTCTTCCCGTTTTTATTGCTTTTAGCAAATTGTAATCTATGAAGGGACAGGGTAGATCAGAAGCATGGGCAAGATTGCTTGCTAGGTTGCTAGATTAAAACCATTTATATTGCCATATTCACCATCCTATCAACAATCCACACCATTAATATCCAAAGTAACAGAAATAATTCTATTTAACAAAAAGAACCAGCAGAGCTCACTTAATCTCCTGGCCCAAACACATGGGGGAATAGCCAAGTCTTCAAAGCCTTATGAATGGCTAGCAGTGTTAGGATTTATTACAACAGAGCATTCCCCAAAAAAGGTTTAGACAGTTCATCCCAGTCTTACAAGACTGGGGCATCTCTCTGTTATTTGTTAAAGCAACAACCCATTTCCCCCCCAGACTTCTGAGCAAGTGTGAAAAGTGAGGCAGTTGTTTTTAAAAGCGCAGTGGAATTTTCATCACAATGGCATTGTGTTTTTTCTTTAGGCACTCTGGATAAAATTTTGGCTGCTTTAATTACTAGCTGGATAATGCTGCATGTCTGCTCCAAATCAATTCCTCCAATTCATTTCTGAAGCACGCACAGCCTTAGATATATCTAATAAGCCATTTCCATGAATGGTAATGTGGTGCCTGTATATTTGCAGGAAAGGATCTTCCTATTACTGGAAAATTCTGTCCTTCCTTTTTGCCATCCAGGAGATCAACCAGGATCCCAAACTCTTACCCAATATCACCTTGAGCTACAACCTCCACAACAACTTTTTAAACACCAGGATTACTTCAGATGCCTTGGTGGACCTGCTTTCTGTTGGAGATGCCAACATTCCAAACTACAGCTGTGGAAGACAGAAAGACCTCTGGGTTCTCCTGGAAGCAGCTGACTCAGACATCTCCATACAAATTTCAACGATGGCAGCCATCTACAAAATCCCACAGGTAAGGAGTGAAAGTGTGCACCTCTGTGGTTAGGCACTCTGCAGAATTCTTTTAGATTGGGTTTTCCTTCAGAACATAGAATGACTCAACAAAGCAGTGTAAGCTTGGAAGATGTGGAGATATGTGACCCATAGAAATGGCAAGAGTTGGACATGATTGGATATCATCATCATCAACAACAGCAACAACAACAATTAAACTCATAAGCCACCCAACTCTCAATATTCCCATCAATCAAACAAAGAGTTAACAGTTAAAACAATAAAGAATAAGCAATGGATAAAAGATGGCTAGCCTCTTTTAATATGTTTTGTTAATAATATTTAGTAGACCATTGTGCAAGACATTATATCAGGATTGCTAAAACAGAATCTGCCTGGATATCTTGGTTGGGTCTATTGAACCTAGTATGTCTAAAAGGATATGAATGAACCCTAAGTCACACATTAATCCATCCATGTAGATATTTGCCATTTCTCTGAAGGAATGTTCTCCTTGAAGATCTCTTAAGGGATGATGGTGGTGGTGGTGGTAGTGGTGGCGGTGATGAGGACTGTCTGAACAGAGCCTAAGCAGTGGATCTTCTTGCAATAAAGGAGAATCCCATCCATGATTAGAACAAATTAAAAACAAAGATGTTGAGACTCTAGAAAGTGTGCAGAGAAGAGCAACAAAGATGCTTAGGGGCTTGGAGGTTAAAATATATGAAGAATTGTTGCAAGAAGTGGGCATGGCTAGTCTAGTGAAGAGAAGGACTGGGGGTGACATGACAGCAGTCTTCCAATATTTGAGGAGTTGTCACAGAGAGGAGGGTGACAACCTATTCTCCAAAGCCCCTGAAGGCCAGAATAGGAACAATTGATGGAAATTCATCAAGGAGAGATTCAACCTAGAAATAAGGAGAAATTTTCTGACAGTGAGAACAATCAAGCAATGAAACAGAAGTTGCCTTCAGAAGTTGTGGGTAGTTCATCACTGGAGGCTTTCAAGAAGAGACTGGACAGCCACTTGTCAGAAAGTGGGGAGATTGGACTAGATAACCTACAAGGTCCCTTCCAATTCCGTTCTAAGAAAATCTCTCTAACAGATGACAGATAATCAGAGTTGGAAAGGACCTCATAGGTCATCTAGTCCAACCCACCACCCAAACAGGAGACCCTACACCATTTCAGACAAATGGCAGTCCAATCTCTTTTTGAAGGTCTCAAGTATGGTGCTCCCACAACTTTGAGGGCAAGCTGTTCCATTGGTTGATTGTTCTCACTGTCAGAATGTTTCTCCTTATTTCCAGGTTAAATCTCTCCTTGTTCAGTTTCCATCCAGTATTCCTTGTCTGGCCTACAGGTGCCTTGGAAAATAGCTTGACCCCTTCCTCTCTGTGACAACCCATCAAATATTGGAAGATTACTATCATGTCTTCTCTGGTCTTCCTCTTCACTAGACTAGCCATGCCCAGTTCCTGTAATCATTCTTCATATGTTTTATTCTTCAGTCCCATAAGCATCCTGGTTGCTCTTCTCTGCATTTTTTCTAGAGTCTCAACCTCTTTTTTATAGTGTGGTGACCAAAACTGGATGCAAGACTCTAGGTGTGGTCTTACTAAGGCTTTATAGAGTGGTATTAGTACCTCACTTGACTTTGATTGTATCCCTCTGTTAATGCAATTTAGGATTGCATTAGCTCTCTATTTGGTACATAGCTAAATTTTTTGCTGTGTTCAACCTTGAAAGCAAACTTTAACATCTTCATTCCTTTTTCAGATCAGCTTTACTTTTGTTTCCCAGGTTCTGAGTGATAAAATCCGGTTCCCTTTTTTCTATCGGATGATCCCTGCAGAAGGAACACAATACCCAGGAATTGTCAGGTTGCTTTTGCACTTTGAGTGGAGCTTCATTGGTCTCTTTGCTTCAAACACTGACAATGGGGAACAGTTCCTAAGGACGTTGGCACCTCTACTCTTGAAGAATGGGATTTGTGTCATTATATCAAAAAGCATCTTGGTGACTAACAACAACAACAACCTGAAAGTCTTTTCTGCTTTCTTCTACACATGGAGGCAGGTTAATGTCTTTGTTTACTGTGCAGAAGGCAATTCCTTCCTAGAAGGAATAGCCATTATACAAGAAATAATTAGGAGCATGACAAAACCCATCATGGGAAAAATCTGGATCACCACAGCTTTGTGGGACTTCACGATGCAACTGCTCCAACGTAAACTGTTTTTTCAAAACCTCCACAGCCTTTTCTCCTTCTTCATCCGTACCCAAAAAAAGAGAAAACCCTACAATTTTATAGCTTTCTACGATTACATGAAGAAGTTTGAACTCAACGCTTATTGTTGTTTTTCTGCAAGGAATGTCTTTGCTGTGAAAAGCCGGAGAAGATGCCGAGAGAAGCAGGAAGTAAAGATTCTGCCCCAAGATAAGGTGGAAATAATTTTCTCCCTAGACAAATACTTCATTTACAATACTGTCTGGGCTGTGGCATGGGTGTTAAATACTGCTTTTTCATCCAGATCCAAGAGGGAAAGAAAGATGAGTGGAGAAAGGTTGAAAACTCCAAGTCTACAACCTTGGCAGGTATCTTGATCGCCATAATAGAGATTGTTCTTGTGCATGATAATCAAATATTAAAATCTGCATGTTTGGTAATTGGATGCTCCTTTTCTTTTATCCTCTGACTCTTTTTAGAATAGAATAGAATAGAATAGAATAGAATAGAATAGAATAGAATAGAATAGAATAGAATAGAATAGAATAGAATAGAATAGAATAGAATAGAATAGAATAGAATAGAACAGAATTCTTTATTGGCCAAGTGTGATTGGACACACAAGGAATTTGTCTTAGTCCAAATGCTCTCAGTGTACATAAAAGAAAAGATACATTCATCAAGAGTCAAGAATCATAAGGTAGAACACTTAGTAATAATCATAGGGTACAATAAGCAATCAAATCAATAAAAAGAGTCAATAAAAATCATTAGGATACAAGCAACAAGGTTACAGTCATACAGTCACAAGTGGGAGGGGATAGATAAGAAGTGATGAGAAGATTAATAGTAATAGTGGTGCAGACTTTGTAAATAGTTGATAAGTGTTGAGGGAATTATTTGCTTAGCAGAGTGATGGTGTTCAGGAAAAAAATGTTCTGGTGTCTAGTTGTTCCGGTGTGCAATGCTCTATAGGGTTGTTTGAGGGAAGGAGTTGAAACAGTTTATGGCCGGGATGTGAGGGGTCTGTAAATATTTTCACAGCCCTCTTTTTGACTCATGCAGTATACAGGTCCTCCATGGAAGGCAGGTTGGTAGCAATTGTTTTTTCTGCAGTCCTAATTACTCTCTGAAGTCTGTGTCTGTCCTTTTGGGTTGCAGAACCAAACCAGACAGTTAGAGAGGTGCAGATGACAGACTCAATAATTCCTCTGTAGAACTGGATCAGCAGCTCCTTGGGCAGTTTGAGCTTCCTGAGTTGGCACAGAAAGAACATTATTTGTTGTGCTTTTTTGATGATGTTTTTCATGTTAGGTGTTACGTTTTTCATGTTGGGATATGATAGATTTTTTTTATAGTGTTGTGGAAAAACAGTGATTCCTTTAAAACATGACCCCAAACAATGGAAATCTGAAACAAAATTTGATAAAATATCCTATAATACTATTACCTGGTTTCCCAGCCAAGGCTAAGTGCTGAGAGATCCCATTGTAACTTGGTAAAGGATTATACAGAGATAGAACAGGTATATCAGCCGTCATGAATCATTAATTATATTACACAGACCAGAAAGTCATCAACATTTTTTTAAAAAATGGTTATCATCCGGAGCTTGCTTTGCTGATTGTTCTTTCAACCCTGATCCACATTTTTTTTTTATTCTAAGGACAAACATTTCTTTCTATTTATGATATGGCAATCCTTCTTCACACCTCTCCTCAAAATGCAAGGCAATTCTTAGTATCTGCGTTGCATGTCTTCCTTAGGATTATTTCCAAAGTATATTACAGTATTAAAGAGTATTCTCAGTTCCAGCAATGTTCTGCCTGTGACTTTGTTTGTGTCATATAATATATGTGGGTATATGCATTATTTATTTATTTAGTCATGTTTATGTAGTGTATATTGGAGGTGGAGACCCTCTGAGAACTGTATGCAATGAAATTTCATTTTAATGTATACCAATTAATATACATTCAAAGTGACAATAAAGTCACTATAAAGATAGTCTATGTCTATCTACACCAGTGGTTCCCAACCTTTTTTTCTCCCTGCACCCCTAAATAAATTTCACTCGAACCTCGCACCCCCTGAAATTTAGACTTTAGGAACTACTGAGTGCATTAAATATATGGTAGGATTGAATCTTTTGAGCTATGTATGTGATGGCCACTAAATAACGATACTTAACTCTAAAATGAAAACAAAGTTAATCCATTGCATAAGAAAAAAAAATGCCAACATATCCTATTATTTACCTGGACTTTTCTTGCACCCCCTGGAATATCATCTCGCACCCCCAGGGGGTGCAAGCACCCCAGGTTGGGAACCCCTGATCTACACTGTAAACATGATTTAAGCCGAAAGAATCAAAATTAAGAAAAACTATTTCAAAAATTAACTTTTAAACTCTACAATGGGTTTTATTGCATGGACTTATCCTTGATGTGGGGTATGGCTTTTACGGATTTGAGATTTTGGACAACATTCAAAGCAGTATATAAGTGTTGATCAAAATCAGTGGAAAGAAAGAAAGAAAAATGACACCAACAGCATCATAGCACTGATGGTGTTACCTAGTTTGGGTAATGAAACTGTGCAAGAAAATAATCAAGCTCAGAGAGCACCAAGGACCTCTCATTTCAACTTTGAGCTACAAATATTCTCCTTTATTAGAGAAACAAGGTGAAAAGTACAAGTTTTGGGTCAGTGGCTTTTTTAATTTTAAAAATAAACGTGTACAATTTGATGTCACCCAATGACATTTTAATGACTTCAAAATACAAATTTCATAACTTCATCAAGTAGGTGCTGCATTTCATAATGAGACTTATCTGGGATGAGATCTTTGAAGGACTCTAGATATTGAGCGATGGTGGATTCTGCTTCACTGGAAGTATTTTAAGAGAGGCTGGATGACCATCTGCCAGGGATGTTGCATTCCTGCACTGGACAAAATATTGGACTAGACAATCTCCCTTCAAAACTTCCCATTTTAGGATCCTACATGGTAGATTCTTATACTGGACTGGCCGTTGACTTAGATACATTCCCCTATTATTCCATTCTAGAATTCTTTCCTTCCATGGAGGCCTCTACAATGAAGTAAGATCTAATGATGAGGGAACGCTTCTATGAAAGCTGAAGAGAGAATAAAATGTTAGCCTATAAAATATTACAAGGTTTCTGTTTTTGTGTATGTGTGTTAGAAGACTGAAGATGGAGAGAAGGATCCCTACATTGACTACCGCACTGATTGTATCAAAAGTAAGTCACATAACCCACAACTCCACATCCAACCCAACCTCATCCACCCACCATCACTCAAATCTAGGCATGCACGCCCCTAACTAGCTCAATTCCAACTACAACTGGCCTTAAATGCAAGCTACTTAGCCTTGTGAATAAAATACCTGAATTTCTCCTCTTACTAAATATGGCTAAATTCGACATCATATTTGTCTGTGAAACATGGCTCAACACATCTCTCCCTGACTCCATTACTACAGTAAGAGACTATCATGTTTACTGATCAGATCATGAAATCTGTAGAGGAGGTAGTGTTGCTATCTTCTATAAAAAGTCCTCACATCTAAAAAACATCCAAGTTACCCAAGAGCTTGCTCTTTCTGAGACCATCGTCTGTGAACTGTCCTTAAATATCACATTTCGATTCTTACTATGTTACAGAGCACCTGATTATGACATTGAACATGTAAACAAGCTAAATTCACTACTAACATGGGCAACATCCTGCCCACACACTTTTATCTTGTTTGGTGATTTCAATCTACCTCACATTAACTGGACCCTAAACGAATGTAAAACTGAACGTGTACATGCAACCTTCTACAATGCAGTAACAAACCTGGGACTGGAACAACTAGTAACCAACAATACTAGACTGCATCGATCTCATCTTCTGCAATAGTTTGAATTCAATTTATGGAATACAAATTAAAGAACCCTTTTCCAACAGTGACCACAGCATGATTGATTTTTATCTCAACATACATCCACACAAAAAATCAACGGAACAATGTGATCCCCAATTATATCTTCAAAAAAGGCAACTATGATCTTATAGACAATGATCTCTCATGCCTTGATTGGCAATTTCTATTCACTGGATGCAATACTGTTGAAGACCATTACAACATATTTTTACTTGAAGTCAAAAGAGTCATCAAACTATATGTACCAATAACAATTCCAAAAACCAGAAAAAAACAGATTACCTATAACAATAAGGAAGCTTCAATCCAAAAAGAGATCACGTTGGCGGAAAAACAAATCTGATCACATTGCCAACTTAAAAAGCCAATACAAAAATTTATGCCACCAGATAAAGACTGAATGCACCAATTATCACATTAAACAAGAGGAAAACCTTCTACACACCAATTCCACCCATGCTTTCTACAACAAACTAAAAGACTCAAGGTCCATCCCACCCCTGAAATGATCAAATGGTAAGGACTGCAATGATGACACTATTAAAGCCAACCTCTTTAACACATTCTTTGGCTCAGTATTTGTAAACAGCAGTGGATCATGCCCAGTATTTCCTAGTCGAACCACAGTCAACTACAATGATCTAATACATATCGATTTTACAGCAGACAATGTTGAAAAAGCACTATGCAATCTAAAACCATCTCTATCTATTGGACGAACAGAATGTGTGCCTACTTCTTAAAAAAGCTATCCACTGCCATAGCTGAACCTCTAAGCATAATCTTCGAAAAATCTTTCAGGACCAGCTCCTTGCCTAACCAATGGTCATAAGCCACTGTCATCCCCATCTTCAAAAAAGGAGACCCCAGCCTAGTTGAAAATTACAGACGAATCTCTTTATGCTGCATCACCTGTAAAGTAATGGAATCAATTATTAACCAACCCATTATCCTCCACTTAGTGACAAACAACCTACTCTCTAATAAACAATTTGGTTTCAGAAAAAAAACTATCCTGCAATCTGCAACTCTTACACTGCAAAAACATATAGACTACACAACTCGATCAGGGCAAAGCAATAGATGCAATCTACATAGACTTCTGTAAAGCCTTTGATTCAGTGGTACATGACAAACTACTCCTAAAACTAAAATCTTACGGTATCTCTGGACACCTGCATAACTGGATAGAAGCATTCCTGTCAAACAGACAACAAATAGTCAAAATTGGGAGTGTCCTATAAAATTTATTTCTGTACCTGTCAACAGTGGTGTCCCCCAAGGCAGTGTTCTAGGACCAACTCTCTTCATACGCTACATAAATGACCTCTGTGATCATAATAAGAGCAACTGCATTCTCTTTGCTGATGAAGTAAAGCTGTTCAACACCACAGACAATACTGCTACCCTTCAAAAAGACCTCGACTATGTATCAGAATGGTCAAACAAATGGCAACTTCAAATCTCAACAAATAAATGCTTTGTCTTCCATATTGGCAAAAAATAATAATCAGAAAATAAAATACAGGCTGAATAGTCAAGACCTTGTTGATGATCCAAGCTCTGTCAAGGATCTTGGAGTACTCATCTCTAATGATCTAAGTGCTAGAGCCCACTGTAACTACATAGCCAAAAAGGCGTTAAGATTTGTTAACCTAATCTTACGTAGCTTTTTCTCTGGTAATATTACACTACTAACTAGAGCATACAAAACATTTGCTAGACCAATACTCGAATACAGCTCATCAGTCTGGAACCCACATTATGTATCTGATATTAACACAGTTGAGAAGGTCCAGAAATATTTCACAAGAAGAGTTCTCCACTCCTCTACTCGTTGCAGAATATCATGCCACCAGACTTGAAATTCTAGACCTAGGAACTACGCCATCTTTGGTCCAATCTAAGTATAGTATATAAAATCATACATTGCAATGTCCTACCTGTCAATGAATACTTCAGCTTCAACCATAACAATACAAGAGCACACAATAGATACAAACTCATGGTTAATCGCACCAAACTTGATTGCAGGAAATATGACTTCAGCCACAGAGTGATCAATGTCTGGAATACTCTACCTGACTCTGTGGTTTCTTCCCCAAACCCCAAAAACTTTAACCTTAGACTGTCTACTATTGACCTCACCCCTTTCCTAAGAGGTCAGTGGGGGGCGTGCATAAGTGCACCAATGTGCCTACCATCCCTGTCCTATTGTTTCTTTTATTTTTCTTATATGTATCCATGTATTCATAACTATGTTTTTACTTATACCTATTATCTTGTAAGCAATTGACAAACCAAATAAAATAAAATAAATAAATAAATTAGCTCTATTTGGCCACAGCTATTTGAATCTGGAAAGAAGATTCAACCATAAGCAATTCAGGTATCAACAGGCATTCATTCACTCATTCAACTTATACAGCCACCAAACTCTGAGCAGTTTTACAAACAAATTTAAATGAAATCACAAGCGAAAATTGATGCACATTGTCGGAGCAAATAGGCTTCTCGTTTGCTAAGAAACATGCTACATTTTTTTGGTTTTATTTTCTGTTCTGTTCTAGCTTCACCGTTTCCTCCAAAACTCTCAACTGCACAATCGTTCCTTGGATGGAATACATTTGGATGAAAAAGGAAACCTGGTAGCTGATTTGGACATCATGAACTGGATGGTTTTTCCAAATAACTCTGTCACCAAAGTGATGTTTGGGAGTCTAATAAAACAGAGATCCTCGGATTTCAAATTTTCAATCAATCAGGATGCTCTCGAGCACCTGGAATTACTCAACAAGGTACAGAAATTGAAATTCACTGTTTCTCCATTTCTCAATAATAGCAATGATGAGTGTAGAGATCTCAGGAAGGGAAATTGCTTTCATTTTTGCTATTCAGTTAAATCCAAAGAAATTTCGATACAGCTGTCACTATATATTGAAATATGCAAGCACCATCAGAAGTCACATTGCAAGTATTCATCTTGAGGTACTTAATCAATCAGAATAGAGCTGGAAGGGACCTTGGAGGTCTGCTAGTCCAACCTCTTGCTCAGTTCAGATAGATGGCTGTCCGGTCTTTTCTTAAAAATTCCAGCACCCACAATCTCTGAGGGCAAGCTGTTCCACTGCTTAATTGTCCTCGCTGTTAGGAAGTTTCTCCTTAATTCCAGGTTGCTTCTCTCCTTGATTAGTTTTCATCCATTGTTTCTCGTCCTGCCTTCTGGTGCTTTCAAAAATAAACTGACCCCCTCCTCTTTGGGGCAGCCTCTCAAATACTGGAATACTGCTATCATGTCCCCCTTAGTCCTTCTTTTCTCTAGATTAAGCAAACCCAAATCCTGCAACCATTTTTCATAAGTTTTAGTCTCCAGACCTTTAATTATCTGGTCTTCTTTGCACTTCTTCTCCAAAGTCTCAACTTTTTTTTGTAAACCAAAACTGGATGTAATATTCCAGGTGTGATCTTACTAAGACTTTAAAAAGCCTTACTAAGCCTTACTTACTAAGTAACTAAGTATGTAAGGCTTACTTACTAAGTAAATAAGTAAGTAAGCCTTACATACTAAATAAGCAAGTAAGTAAGGCTTACATACTTATTAACCTTACCAAGCCTTATCTACTAAGGCTATATGGATTTAAAGTTGTCCTAAGACATTTTCCTTGTTTTCCTTGTTTCTATGTTAGCCCCTGCCTCTTTCCAAGTGTGTACAAAGTTGTTCTCGTGGATTCCACAAGATGGCTGAAAGAGGGAGACCCATGTGCTGTTACAATTGTGTTGTTTGTGCAGAAGGAGCCATCTCTGCTCAGGAAGGTGAGTGATTATGAAGGAGTGGTAGTCCTGGAGTAATGAATTTGCTAGTTGTCAGGGTTCCAGAGGTTGCCCTAATTAAATCATGAGCCTCAAGCCATGCTTCAAAAGATTCCAGAAGATTTATTATTGCCCCATACAGCAGATCTCACTGCATTGCTTCCTCGTTCTGTCCTTTGTTATTTTTAGGGATATCTCTAAAGGAAGAAGTAATTTATCCTCCTGTTCCAAACAAATTATTTTGATTTTAAAAATTATTTAAGTCAAAGCCAGATGACCTCCAAAGTACTGTACAATACTATGATTCTATAATAGCCATCAATCAGGAATGACAAAGTTGGCAAATGGTTGACCTCAATTATCTGAAATAGAAGTATTTCACAAGAAGAGTACTACACTCCTCTACTCGCAACTGAATACCCTACACCACCAGCTTGAGATTTTGGGCTTTGACAACTTTGAACTACACCGCCTATGGTTAGACTTAAGTGTAGCACACAAAATTATCTGCTACAATGTCCGACCAGTCAATGACTACTTCAGCTTCAATTGGAACAATACAAGAGCACACAACAGATACAAACTCAATGTAAGCCGCTCCAAACTTGATTGCAGAAAGTACGACTTCAGCAACAGAGTGGTCAATGCCTGGAATGCACTACCTGACTCTGTTGTTACATCCTCTAACCCCCAGTCCTTTAACCTCAGACTATCCATTATTGACCTCATCCTATCCCTAAGAGGTCTGTAAGGGGCGTGCATAAGCACACAATTGTGCCTACCATCCCTGTCCTATTGTCCACATTTATACATACCTATTTCCTGTATTCTTACTCATGTTTATACTTATACCTGTTATCTTGTAAGCAATTGACAAATCAAATAAATGAATGAATGAATGAATGAATGAATGAACGAACGAACGAACGAACAAACAAACAAACAAACAAACAAACAAACAAACAAACAGTTCTTATAAGGAGAGTAAAACCAGCAAAAGCACACTATGCAAAATATTTCGAAGGCAAAATGCAGCTATTAAAGGGATTACATTTAAAAAAAACACCTGCTTAATAACCTCTAATTCAAATGAATGTCATGGTTGTCCGAAAGGTAGTTTTTCCAAAGGCAAGTGGACTTTCTGTGTTTTTTTTCCCGTTGAAGATGTTTTGCTTCTCACCCTAGAAACATTTTCAGTTCTGACTGAATGGTGGGGAATGGTCTTCAGAACTGAAGATGCTTCTTGGATGAGAAGTGAAATGTCTTCAAGAGAAAAAAAACAGTTTTTTGAAAAGAGCAACCTGGGGTCCAATTTAGATTAGCTGGTATAAGAACATGGAAGATATCCTTTATTTCAAATTCACTGATTCCGTGGATTAAAGTTTTGCAATGTTAAAAGAACTTAGCTGCTTCAAATTCATCTTTACTTGGATATGATTTTTACTGCATGAGTAAAATTCAAATTTCCTGCAAAACAAGTATTTTATTTATTTACTTAATTTACATAGCTGTCCAACTCACACATACAGTAGGTGACTTTGAGCAACTTAATGTTTTTTAAGGAAACCCATATAATAAAAACCCATTTTAAAAAAAACCATCCCCCACCACCATGGCAGAACCACACAATTAAATCAGTCACTTCATCAGCTTCCTATCTCCTTTGTTAATGAAAATCTCCTCCTCATCCATCTCCACTGCATATTTTGCACACTCTATAAAAACATACACATATACACCATCACAAATTGTTCTGACCCAAACTTTGTTCCAAGGAAACAAACACCAAACAGAGGTAACAGCAAAACCTTTTAATGATTCTTTAAGAATTCCGTTCCTTCACGGTTAAAAGGCTGTTTCAAACTAATTGTCTCTGATAAGAATGAGCCTTGCCAAGGTTGTGCAAGGCTGCCAAGAACACTAGATAAAGTTACTAAGAAATATTTCAAACACAAAGAGTCTCCAAACACCAACCAAGATACTCCGAATGTCCACAAGGCTTGAGTGCAAAAACTTCTTTGCTTCCTGCAAAGAACTCCGGTTTCTCAGCTGGCTTTTATCTCTTAAGGGAGGGGCCATTACCTTGCAGCCTTACTCCTGAGTCACCTGTGCTGCTGCAGCTGCTCTTTCCTTTGAGCAGTCCTGCGTGCACATGCACTGGGCACAGGCTCCTCGGGGACCTCTTCATCACTGCTGCCAGCCTCCACAATCTCCGAAGGCAGCATTTCGCTCCCTGATGGTCCAAGTCCCATCCCTGCATCACACGCAGGCCCCTCATCTGAGTCCTCGCTTTCCGAGACCTCAGCCATCTGCACCTGCTGTCAGTGAACCACAACACAAATGTCCTTTGGGTCTCCTTGTTTTCAGCTTCCACCTAAGGAACATACTCAGGGGTGAGATTCAACCAGTGTAACAACCAGTGAGAGCGCACTTTGCACATGCATGTGTAGTCTGCATGCGTGCGTAGCATTTCAGAACCACCTATTTTCAGCTCTAATACTTACCTTCTACTGAAGCCCTGTAGTATAACAGCTGAGGCACAGCAATTTGCTGTGCCATACAAAAGATGGAAATAAAGGACAGAATAGGACAGGGGCAGGTGGGTAGGGCCAAATGATCACTGGAACTACCTGTTTGCCCGAGCCATTCTGAACCAGTACAATCCCACTCCTGAACATACTGGATAGAATGGAAAATGAGAGGCAGTGGCAGATATGCTAATGTTATTATTTTTTTTAGATGCAGAAAAGTGCACCAGGTGTCCAGATGATCAGCACCCAAATGAGAAGAAAGACCACTGTGTTCCTAAAGTTATAACTTATTTGTCTTATGAAGGACATTTGGGGATTCTTCTTGTTTCCTTTGCTGGGTTCATGGTCTTCATCACAAGCTTTGTGCTGGGAATCTTCATTAAATTCCTAGAAACTCCAATTGTGAAGGCCAACAATCGAGACCTTTCCTTCATTCTCCTGGGTTCCCTTCTGCTTTCCTTCTTATCCTCCTTCCTATTCATTGGCCGACCCATGCAAGCCACGTGCTTTTCCCAACAAATGGTCTTCACTACCATATTCACAGCTGCCATTTCTTCAGTGCTAGCAAAAACCATCACAGTGGTGTTGGCGTTTTTGGCTACCAAGCCAGGAAATAAGATGAAGAAATGGCTGGGGAAGAGCTTGGCCAACTCCATTGTCTTATCTTGCTCAAGTGTCCAAGTTGTTATTGGTAGCATTTGGTTGGGAGCTTGTCCCCCTTTCCTTGAGTTTGACAAGCATTCTCAGCTTGAAGAGATTATCTTGAAATGCAATGAGGGCTCAGTCACTATGTTTTATTTTGCTCTTGGTTACATGGGCTTCCTGGCTGTCAGTTGCTTCACGGTGGCTTTCCTGGCCAGGAATCTGCCTGGAGCTTTCAATGAAGCCAAGCTGATCACCTTCAGCATGCTGGTATTCTGCAGCGTCTGGGTGTCTTTCATTCCTGCCTACCTGAGTATCAAAGGGAAGTACATGGTGGCTGTGCAGGTCTTCTCCATCTTGGTTTCCAGTGCTGGTCTGTTGGTCTGCATCTTCATCCCTAAATGCTACATTATTGTGCTAAGGCCAAAGCTGAATACAAAAGAACATCTTAAGATAAAATAGATTGAGAAAGTGATTGTTATAGAACTGCTTCTCAAATGTTTTATTTAATAGATCCAAGTTGATGTTTCTAAATTTTCAATTTTCAAATTCCTTCTTTTTTGTTCTTAATGTCTCTCCCTTACTCTTATGATCAGATTTTATCCTCCTAGAAATTGTTATGTACATCAGCCATGGTATCTTCCGGCCTTCAGTCAGTGATTTTTGCTGTGTCCTCAAACTGTTTATTAAAACTGAGGAGACCACGTATGACTATTTGATTACATGTTTCTTACTCTAATTATCTTCAACATGAAATATATTTGAAGGAAAAACTAATGCTGAAATTGTTGGACTTAATATTTGAAGGAAATGAATGATGGGAGTTTGTGTCACCTTAGTCTTACGAGCAATATGGTACTTGTGTATGCCTATGTTCATATCAGGTGAACATCTGTGTTTGCTTGAAGAGAATAAGTTTGAAAAACAAAAACAGAAATGAGGTGTGTATGTGTGATAGGTGAACTTTATCCCTGTAAAAGATAGATGCTAAAGATGCTAAGGTAATGCCATTTTTAACCTCTGTGTAAGCTAAGGCATTTACTGGAATATTAAGCAAGACATTATGTAAAGAGTTTGCAATAACAAGTTTTGTTTTGTACATTGTGGTTATACTGTACATATTTTTGCAGGTCATTGGATGGTTGGTGGGTCACAATGTCCAGTTGTCATGCTAAAATTAATAATGCTATCAATAGGGGTATGCCAAAAAGATAGAGAGTATGCCAAGAAGGATGAAGATTACTTGAAATTGATAAGCAGATGGGTAAACAGTTATGGGAATAAGACCCTTTACCTACTCAATAAGTTAGCTTATAAGAAAAAGAGGTGGTAATTGGGTAAGGATTTTGAAAATGTATAAAACTCTCAAGATTGCCTATGAAAAATGTCCTCTAGCACCCAAGAATGATTCTGCCTTTGCAAATGCAATAAACAAGCTCTGATATTGTTCATAAAGTCTCTTGTCAATTTGATTTAAACATCACAGTATGTCTCTATAAACGCCGAATCTCTCCACAGTACAGGAAAAGGTTGGGACAACTTTTCAACATTGGTTGGACAACTTCCTCTCTAGGAATCTGCTTGATAGTTTTGATTGGGTCTGGAGAAAGAGAGAGCTTGGAGGTCTTTTAAAACAGTCAAGTTCTCTCTCTTTGAGAAGTGAAGCTTGAGCAAGACTTTATTATCTGGCCAAGGAAATACCTTGAAACATCTCTCTGAGAAGAAGGCTTGACTTTCATTAATTTTGTTGAAAGTTGTAAAATGTTTGTTGAGATTTCTATAATAATGACCCGATGATTCTATGATGTAGGGGGTTGTGGTTTTTCCCTATAAAGACTCTAAGCATGAGGGGTGAACACAAAGTCTTTGAGGGAAACTTCCCTATGTCCTGCACAGAATAAAGGTAAATATGTGCTAGTCATTTCCGGCTTTAGGGGGCGGTGCTAATCTCTGCTACAAAACCAAAGAGCCAGCACTGTCCCATCTGTGACTTCTCCCTTTGCATACATGCTTGGTTTTTTTTTGGGTAAAAGTTTTTAACAAACACAAACATAAAACATCAACATAAAACCATCTTCCAAAATACATCATGTTGGTTGGTACATTTCTTTCATGCAACATCACAACATCAACAGTCTTCCCCTTCCAAACATAAATTCATATTACATAAGTCAACTATACATATTATATTATATTGTATTATTATTGTATCATTATTAGACTCAACTATAAATTTACATAGTTCTTATCGAGCAAATCTAAGTTTTAACAAATCTGGGAACATTCAATTTATTTCATTATGTATATATATGTATATATATAATATCATTACATCATATTATCTTACATATTATACTATTCCTTTTTATAGCATCGTTTTCCCTTTGCATACATGCTTGTTGATTCAGAGTTCAAAGAGTTGGTGTCAGCCTTGGAAGCCATATTTTATTTGGAAGCTTCGAGGCTGCCACATTCAGTGCCTGGGAATTTGGGAGGGGGGATTTCATACTGAGATGGAAGACTAGACACAACGACATTCCTTTCTCAGAGAGTCAAGGACATGTTGCCCTGCACCTGGAGAGGAGTGTCTGGAGGAATGTCTCCAGTTGGGACGATCTTTGATTGGACCATGTGATGGACTGGTTGGTGCAAGGGATGGTTCTTTGATTTTCTTTTGGGAAAAGAAAACCCAGAACTCTCAGATTCGGGTTTTCCCAGATGTACAAATGTGAGAACTCTAATAAAATGGAACTTTGAGGAAATGCTTGTCTTGGAGTTTATTGGTTTGGAGTTGATTAGTTGGAACACTCCTCCATGCATTATCCAAATCATGGTAGCTTATTATTTGTCTCCCTTGATGCTATATCTCCAGAGATTTTTCTGCACACTTTCAGAAGATCTGAAAGCAAGATGTCAATAACATGTTTTCACCTCAATACCACAGTGATGTTTTATTGACTGAGCTCATAGCATTGGAAAGGCATGAATGCATAATTGGGTCTGGAGAAAGAGAATACTGGGAGGTCTTTTACAACAGTCAGGAGCTGCACTTAGTCCCCTGTCCTTGAGATGTGCAAAACTTTATTATCTGGCTAAGGAAATGCTTTGAAACGTCTCCCTCAGAAGAAGGTTTGGCTTTCTTCTACCTTTATTTTGTGTTCTTTGTTCAAAAGTGACATAGTTCTGGAGACTCAATCAAGAATTCAAGTTGTGTTGTTGCTTCTGCTGCTTTTGTGGCCACAGGCAATCTGGGGGATGTTCCAAGCTTAGTGCCTCCTGACTTTGAACAGGGATGAGCTGGGCCCACAGAATCATTACAGGCCAGGAGAGCTTTCAATTGGGAGCATCATCTCTGCAACCAAGAGTAGGTTTCAACTTTTAAGCTTTCACACAAGTCCTTCAAGTCAGTTATCTGTGTAAGTCAGGCTTGTCCAACCCGTGGCCCGCGGGCCACATGCAGCCCAGGTCACCTCATAATGCGGCCCAGTGCCCACCCCAACCTTCTGGCAAGAGCCAGCGAGGAGGAGGAGGAGAGGCAGGTGCGAGGTGGGGCGAGGCGAGCGCTACACCAAGTAGCAACAGAAAAGGTGGGCGCCGCCTTTGCTGCTTCTGCCCCTGCCGCCGCCGCTGCTGCTTCTGCCCCCGCCCCCCCCCCCCCCCCCCCCCCCGCCGCCCCCGCCCCCGCTGCTTCTGCCCCCGCCGCCACGGCTTCTGCCGCCGCCGCTTCTGCCCCCGCCACTGCTGCCACCGTCACTGCTGCTGCTGCACCGAGCCTCCTGGTCCTCGCCTTCCAGTTCTGCCGCATCCAGCCGGGCCATTTGCAGGAGGAGAGGTAGGCACGAGGCGGGCGAGCTTTCCTCCCCCCCTCCCCCCCCGCAAAATTTGGCCAGAAAATTAATAAAAAATAAATAATTTTTAATAAATAATTAATAATAAATAATAAAAATAATTTATAATTTATTATATAATTTTATAATATAATTATTTTATAATAATTTATTATATGTGCGGCCCAAACCAAATTTTCATCTTCTAATGTGGCCCAGGGAAGGTGAAAGGTTGGACACCCCTGCTTTACGGGCAACTGGCCAGTTAAGTTGGAGTTGAGATATCCATTCGTCTAGCGACTGGATGTTAGGTCTTTCAGGAGGAAGCTCAGGTATGGGTACAAAGTCTTGTCCCAACGCCACTTTAAAGGGGGTGAACCTGGTACTACTATGAACAGAATTGTTGTATGCCACCTTGGCAAATGGCAATAAGTCAGCCCAGTTATCCTGTTGATAATTTATGTAACATCTGAGGTATTGTTCTAGCACTGCATTAGTTCTCTCACAGGCCCCATTGGTTTGGGGATGGTGGGCGGAGCTTAAGCCCTGGGCGGAGCCTATTAACTTCAGGAACTCCCTCCAAAAGTTTGAGGTGAATTGAACCCCTCGGTCAGAAATTATACGTTCAGGAACGCCATGCAGTCTATAAATATGTAGTATAAACAGTTTAGCCAACAACTTTGCAGAGGGAATCTTAGAGCAAGGTATGAAATGCGCTTGTTTGGAAAACAAATCGGTTACTACCCAAATAACCATGTTTCCGGTGCTCTCGGATAACTCTACTATAAAGTCCATAGAGATTTCCTTCCATGGAGCCGTTGGCCTAGCAACATTTTGTAACAGCCCTGCTGGCTTACCAGGTGGCCTTTTTGCTGAGGTGTAAACTGAGCAGCTAGCCACATAAGCTTCAATGTCCTTCTTCAACGTAGGCCACCAGAATTGTCGCTTAACGAGGTGTAGGGTTTTCACAAATCCAAAGTGACCAGCCGCTTTAGAGTCATGGGCTTGTTGCAATATTTGGCTTCTCAATGTCTCTGGTACATACAACTTTGCTCCCATCCAGGCCAAACCATCTCTAATTGTACAGTTATTCGAATGAGCCAGGAACCATTCATCCAATTTTAGGGCCTCCTTTAATTGCGCTGTCAAATCACTCAAAAAATCCTTGTTTCTTCTTTTGCGCTCTAGTGACCACCAGGGCGGCTAACTGTTTGGTTGAAACAAACGGCCGTATCACTTCCTGACGAACGCTGTTATATTGAGGCAGTCTAGATAAAGCATCCGCCATAAAATTCCTCCCCCTTGGGATGTACTTCAGTGAAAAGTTGAAACGCTTAAAATACTGGGTCCACCTAACTTGTTTAGGAGACAGTTTTCGAGGTGTTTTTAAGGCCTCCAAATTCTTATGGTCAGTCCATACCTCGAATGGGTGTTTTGCTCCTTCCAAGGAATGTTTCCATGTCAATAGCGCCCAGCAAACGGCAAAACCTTCCTTTTCCCAGACGGCCCACCTCCTTTCGGTTTCAGTTAGTTTAGGTGTAGGCGCAGGGTTGTAGGGTTCCCTTCTCATTGATTTGAAGTAATACCGCTCCAACAGCCACATCACTCGCATCGGCTTGGATCACGAAAGGGGCA